AAAAATAAGCCCCTCAAAAAGGACCTTTGAAAAATGTAAGCCCCGGGCTTATTCTCGGAATTTTACAGTATACCATCAGTTGCATCTAAGTTTAGATGAGACAAAAAAAAGGAACATGTTAGGGTGACAGACATGACGATGATGTTTTGCCACCAAACATTAACATGTTTGACAGCTGTTAGAGCAAACTGTCACGCCAAGGTTAAAAGTTGTTTATATGGTTTTGATCAGCACGTTCTCATCTGTTATTTTTCTCAATTTTCAGGAATATTTCCTGCTCAGAAATAACACACTTGCTTTTTAGAATTATTCTTTGAACATCTAAAAGTTTGCGAATGATATTTTGGTGGGCAAAAACAAATCAAGAGGTTCACGTGCGAAGAGCCGCCTACCTATATTTGAATGTTTGGCGGCAAAACCCGTCATGTTTGCACCCAATTAGAACATGTTTTCTCGTCACGTGCACACGATTTAACTGACGGTATCACGTTCTTTAAAGCGTTGGTGAATCGAAACAAGCATTTTAAATGAGGTCAGAGTAATATGTCTCGTTCTTTAAGATTTGATCTTGAGGAAACGAAACTAGCGTGATAAAGATTTTAGGATGCTGTTGAGCATGATAAAATCTCGAGCGACTTTACTAGAAATTTCGCGATCGGACGACATAAGCTTAAGCTTAACCCTCAGAACTCTGGTTTCGGGCGAGATAACTTTCGGGCGACTTGACCGTAAGTCATACTGGTTGAAAGGCAAATATGTTTTTATAATATTTATGAAAAGAAATAACTTACAGAGCATTCAGGATCATTATCTTTGGGTTGTCGAAAGAGCCTTCTCTTCGTGACGTTAGCCTTTAACGTTGCCACTTCACTTTGCAGTTGTTGATTTTCTTTCCGCATTTCCGACACTTCACCAAGTAGTCGCCTCACAAGATCCCGTTGCGTTTCTGGAACAGTTCGTGGCGTTTCTTGATCGGTTTGTTCCCTTTCTACGCTCGGTGTTGCCATTCTACTTGCTTGATCCGGCGACGAACTACCAACAAAAGTGCGCTTGAACTCGAAGAAATGTGAGTCGATTTTTCCCGCCTCGCGAATGACGCTCTTTGACACTGACCCGTAAACAAAAGAACAGCGAGCCCACGGTATGCGCAGTAGCATCTGCGCAATAGACTATAATCTCGATCAGTTGTTTACAAACCGTACGAGTGCGGAGATTTCCCTCGTTTCAGGTTTTACCAGCGTGTTTAGCAAAGTTCATAGTTTTATTAAAGTTGATTTCTAAACAATGAAGAGGAAAGTTTTTCATGGGGACGAGAATCGTAGGAAGAAGAGACAATGGAGCAGGCAAAAGTGTGGACATTGTGAGCAGTTCCTTGGCCATACACAGTATCACGAACACCGTCGGCTCTACTTTAATTCAACTTTAAATCAGTGGACAACAGTTCACGATCTCAGGCAAAAGAAATGTGAGCCAGAAGATGTTCCTGGGTCAAGTTCGAGCGAAAGCGAAGGTAAGATCTCGTGTCACTCTCGCTTACTAGAGTTTCCTAAAAAAGGCAAACCCTTACCAAAGCCTGGTTTCCATATGATCGCTGTGATCGCTGCGATCGATCGCTGAGAAATAAAAGTTCAGCGATCGTAGCGATCGCAGCGACAACGATCGCTGAGATGGAACTTTTTTCCTATCTCTGCGGTCGTTGTCGGTGCGATCGCTGGAAGTTGGTTTCCTTGTGATCGCTATGATCGGTGCGATCGCTTAACCTTTTTTTTCTCAGCGATCGCAGCGATCATATGGACCTCAAACGACATTTTTTTAAAAACCTACAATCCTCGTCACAATTCGTTGAAACAGAAACCGTTTTCCTTGTATTTTTTTAAAATGTCTTACCTTCACTCTTCTCACCTTTGCTCTCACTCAAATGTGCCCCTCTCCTTCCCCAATGTTGAGCCATGCGTATTACGACTGCAATACCCAAATCAACCCTGGGGAAGGGGAAAATCACACTATTGTTCCAAGATTTGTGACGAGTATTGTAGGTAGATTCTCAGTTTCCTTTGTCTCCTATACCTAAGAAACAAAGAAAATTGAAAATCAACCTAAGTTAAAATTTAACCTGGTAGTTATGGGTTTCCAAATGTAAATTCGTTTAAGTTTATGTTCCTTCTGGTCTGTTATTGTAAAGTTTGTGTTTTTCTGCGAATATGCGGCAAACTTAAATGCTTCTTCTCAAAAAAATATATGTATACCATAAATGTCAACTGTTTAGTAGCCTGCGTACAGGCTCCCTAGTGGAACAGGGCAAAAGAG